GTTAACGCTTGTTGACCATAGAGAAACCTGTGTTAATGCTCAATGACAATAAGGAAACCTGTGTTAATGCTCAATGACAATAAGGAAACCTGTGTTAATGCTCAATGACAATAAGGAAACCTGTGTTAACAACCACTCACCCTCTTATTTGATGAGTTACAGTTGGTATCTGGTCTGGTTAACTTTGGGCTTTCATTCAACGGATGGAGAATCATCAAAATCCAACACTTTCTCATCATTTGCTTCTTTAATCAGTCATTTTGATTCAGGGTACAGCTTACCACATCAAAAATTTAGCAGCAGCAAGTACATACATTGAAAATTTGATAAGGAAAATAGAAAGTAAAAGTTTTAAATAAACCTTTCAAAAGAAAAACATGTTTTTTCTTCTATTCACTCAGTCTTTCCTTGCGAACCACATAATTTAAATTTTTGAATCTTTGTTGAGATGGAGAAATTCACATATTCCTCCTATCTTCACGTCAGAGCAATCAATTCTAGGGTTACCTTAAGCGTAAAATAATGTAATAGTCTTGAAGTCCTTCCTGCACTGTGGAGATATAGCTTTTCCAAATTAAAACTCGACCTCGGACTATCCACGTTGAGACCTCTGACAGCGAACTCAGCATATCTGATTAAAATTCTTCTGGCTCAATTCTGCTTCTTTGGACCTGGTCATATTTTTCTGATTATAAAATGACAGCTAATGTAACTCCCGTCTGCTCAGAGTCCACCGTAATATCAGCCAATGATGACTGTGGTTCTGAAAAAGCAGCTCAGTGAAGGTAATGTCACTGACCACATCAGTTTATATTTGGGTTTACATTGTGAGACGTATCCAGAACTGTTCAGAACTTGCTCCTAACAGATGGCGCAGAGAAAACTGTTATATTTACCAGCAGAGAACCAAGATAATAAAAAGTGGTGACTCGCAGGCCAACGGCCCAACAGGACTTCCCTTGACCAGCTCAAGTCGATGCTCCAAACATAATTAAAATGCACTGCCTGACCAAAAAAAAAAGTCGCCATCAAAATAAAGGTCCCACACTAATATTTCGTTGGACCGCCTTTAACTTTGATTTCATCATGCAGTCACTGTGGCATTGTTTCAATAAGCTTCTGCAATGCCACACGATCTGGTTCCATCCAGTGTTGCATTAATTTTTCACCTCTTGCATTGATGATGGCAGATTCTGACCACTGCACAAAGCCTTCTCAGAGTCAGAGTCAGAGTTTCTTTATTGTCATTCGCACCTCATGTGGTACATGTGGTGGAGCGAAATTATGTACACAGGGTCCCAGTTACATCCAACAATAAAATGTATAAGAAAAACAGTAATAACATCTAAGATATGAACTAAGAAAAACATCAACTAAATATACACTAAGCACTCATAACATAAAACATTGAACATCAGCACAAACATGAACATGAGTCTGTGTGAGTAGATGAGCACGCATGAACACATCAACATTGAAACAGATCAGCAGCAACATGAAACAGATCAGCAGCAACATGATATGGTTTTTCACAGTGATTATTCTGGTTAGAGATTCATGAGTCTAACAGCCTCAGGGTAGAAGCTGTTCCTCAGTCTAGTGGTTCTACACTTAATGCTCCTAAACCTCCTTCCTGAGGGGAGTGGGGCAAAAAGTGTGTGTGCTGGGTGAGTGGGGTCTTTCATGATGCAGGTGGCCCTCTTCCTGCATCTAGAGGTGTAGATGTCTGTGATGGGGGGGAGACTGACTCCAACAGACTTCTGTGCAGCCTTCACCACTCTCTGCAAAGCTTTTCTTTCTGCAGCTGTGCAGCCTCCATGCCACACGTTGATGCTGGAGCACAGGATGCTCTCCACTGCACACCTGTAGAAGGAGGTGAGGACTGAGCTTTACAGACCAGCTCGTCTCAGCCGTCTGAGGAAGTAGAGTCTCTGATGAGCTTTCTTGATCAGGCTGGTGGTGTTGTTGCTCCAGCTGAGGTTGTCATTCATGTGTACACCCAAGTACTTGTAGCTGGAGACCAACACATCCCAAAGATTCTCAGTGGGGTTACTCTGTGGTGGCCAATCCATGTTTGAAAATGACGTTTTGAAAATGATGTTTCAAGCTCCCAGAACCACTCTTTCACAATTCGAGCCCAATGAATCCTGGTATTGTCATCTTGGAATATGTCCGTGCCATCAGGGAATAAAAAAAATTCATTGATGGAATAACCTGGTCATTCAGTATATTCAGGTCAACTGACCTCATTATTTGAGCACATACTGTTGCTGAACCTAGACCTGACCAACTGCAGCAACCCCAGACCATAGACTGCCCCCACAGGCTTGTACAGTAGGCCACATTTCTCCCTCGAAGACGATGGGTCACCAGTGTCCTTCCAGTTTTTAATAATGCATTGAACAGTTCTTAACCCAATTTTAGTAGTTTCTGCAATCTCCTTAGATGTTTTCTCTGCTTGATGCCAATGATTTGACCCTTCTCAAACAGACTGTCATCATTTCCACGACCACGCGATGTGTCTTTCAACATGGTTGTTTAAGAAATGAGAAGCAGCTCATTGCACCAGTTGGGGTTAAATAACTTGTTGCAGCTGAAAGATAATCACCCAGGCAGTAATTATCCAATAGGAGGCTCGTACATATTTGCTTAGTTAAATCCAGGTGGCAACTTTTACAAATGCGGATGAAAAAAGTTCTGCTGTTTTCTAGAGCAACGTTTCCTGCCTGCAAGCAGGAACTTCCTGGAGTGTCTGCCAGTTGCCTGGCAACAATTTAGAGGCCAAAATCCCTCAACAAGAGCAAATTGTTGTTTTTACTCAGTTTTGTACAAACTAAACGAGCTGAGACCTCTGAGAGATTCTGTGGAGTCAGACCTGTTGTTTCCATAAGTTCAGCTGAAGAAAAGCTGATGCAGCCTCAGAGAGACTGTCTCAGACTGTCCTCAGACTGTCTCTTTAAAGAGACAGTGTTAGGACAGTCTGAAGCAGCCTCAGAGAGACTGTCTCAGACTGGAGACCGTCTCAGACTGTCCTCAGACTGTCTCTTTAAAG